GGGAAAGGAGCGGCAATGGTTGAGTGGCTAATCCCCACTTCTCCAGTTTAGTGGAATGGAGCTAAGAAACGGGGAAAAAACTAGGCCAGATCCTGAGGGGAAGGTTTCTGTGGGTGAGATCTGTGAAGCTGTGAGGCTGGCAGGCCAGGTGGCCACCCTGTCACCTGAGTCATTTCACAGTGGATTGGATGTAAAGAGCTCTCCTCAGATGTTAACGGTCCTAGGAAAAATAATGTCTCTAAATGCAGGGAAAGAACTGGGCCAACACCACAAGGCAGGCATGACTCTGGGAAGCCTTCGGTGTCACAGCCTGGCATGAAAATATTACACGGCTGTCACATGTCCATGGAGTCTGAAAAGATCCCAGGTGATAATTCTTAAGAAAAGCTGAACTGATCATGCATGTGCAGTTGATAGTTATGCCTACTTGGGAGCTGTCTGAACTGGAGGTTTCCAACCTGAAAGTAGACATCTTGGCTCCCTTTGTTTCCTTCCCAGTGAGCGCATGGTGCTATGTGGGATATTTCTGTGAACTCTGATAGAGAACTGTTGCAGTTTGCATCCAATAAAGAGACCTGATATGTTTTAGCCAATTGCCTTTTCCAGCACCTGGGAATTCTTTCTTTCCTTCACCCTGGTTGTTTGCTTTTTTGTAGTGCCCTGTAACACCCCATGTATTTGACAGACATAAACCAACAGGCCCCTTCCCAAAGTGCTAAGAATCTCTCATCAGCTCCCCTCCATCCCCTGAACAGAGAGCACAGCCCATGTCTATGTCTGTGGGGGAATTAAGTAGATACCTGGAGGATTTCAGCAGAATCTTAACCAAACAGGAGAAGCTTAAAGCGCCCCTCTCCTGACTTGACAGCTTGGTACAGCACAGGTGGCGGCAGCTGTGAACATGCCCCCTCTGGGAAAGGAAACCAGCTCCGGTCATTCTGGAGTGCTCATGGCCTGCAGGTGCAGGGAGCTGTCCCAAGGTTGGGCAGCCTGGAAGGAACTGTGCAGTGTGTCAGGCTCTGGGATATAGGTAAGGATATCCTCCATAAAACAGGACTGCCCTGTCATTATTAACAGAGAGGTATCTGCTTCCCCATCAAAGACAAAAGAACTGGGGTACTCTGTAAGCAACAGCAGGGACATTTAGCAGCTCCAAAGAACGTCATACAAATGAATTGAATAAGGCACCTTTGGCCATGTTTTCATGACACAAGTGAAACCACCCCACAACAGCAGAAGTAACAAGAAATGTGCAAGTCAGCAGTACTCTGTAAGCCTGACCCTGGGCTCTGCAGCTATCTGCCAGGTGTGCCATGCCAGCCTGGTGCAGTGGCTTGAGTCAGTCTGAGCCTATGCTGACCCCCAGGGGCAGATGTGCTTGCACCCCCCTCTGATTCCTGGTCTGCCCAAAGTTTAAAACCAGCTGACTAGCAGTGGCAGCAACATTTCAAGTCGGGCAGTTCTGAGGGAGTCATTTGACTTCATGGCTCATTATAAAGTACTTGCCCCTTTCTAAATTCATTCCAAAGGTGTTAACGACCTTTTCTTCTTTGTAATGGTCTTTATGTTCCACCTGTTAAGCTATCCTTTGCTTTGGATTTGGCTGTCTGGTAATGAAGTTCCTATTTCACAGCCCTGCAAATTGTTTTTAACTCATTCCTATGAAGTTAGATTTGTTTTTGCTTCAATCTTAAACTGAGTAATACAGCCCTAGGCCCCTAGCATATTAGTAAAGCTTCTAGTTTATTTTTAACTGGAGAAAAATATGTGTTGTTTTATATGCGATGATGCACCTCACTACCTGCACCCCCCTTTTCAAAATTCTAGATCCATCCATGGTGGCACCAGTTCTTTTCCTATATCCTCCCAGGCCTCTGTACAATCAAGGGCAAGTCCTGGGTCTCCATTCACTGTTTGGACAGTGCAGTTATGGTTCTGCACAGAGGTTAGAGAGTAACACCTCAGCCCAGGCCTGGAGACAAGCTAAGTACCTGGCTAGTAGGGTATGCTGGAAAACCACTACTGCCCCACCAGCCCACAGTGATAAAGCTCTGTGCTGGAAGCAGTGGGCTAATTGATGCAGATGCTAACTGAGGCAGTGACTTGCCTGTGTGGTACATCCATCATCAGCAATCCCTCACAGCTGAGGATGATGGTCTTCTATGATTGCCTTATCTGTGGGTCCAAAGACGGCTGACAAGGCCAATTCGGGATCCACATGTTTTTCTGCAACTCAGGCACATGTTTCCATGCAGGGTGTGTGGCTCTGGATTCTTGGTTTGGTCTGTGACACTGTTTCTGCCACTCCCACTTTTCTGTCTCCTGTTGTGAGGTTTCAAAGTACCGAAATCCCTGCGATTGACTCTTCTTCCATTTAGGGTGGTCCTGGGTAATAGTCTCCTACGAGTTGATGCCAATATTGCATTTTTTTCCAAGTTGGCCTTGAGGACATCCTTGCCCTCCTCTTGAGCATACCTCTTGACTGAGCTGGGAGAATAAAACTTGCTTTGGGAATCTGGAATTGGACATCTGGATAACATGGTCAGAACAGCAAAATTGATCTTGGATGATCATCGCCTCAATGCTTGTGGTGTTTGCTCATGAGAAGACGCTAACATTGGTGTGCATGTCTTCCCACTGGATTCAAAGGATCTTCCACAGGCAGCGTTGATGGTACTTCTCCAGTGGGTTGAGGTGTCTCCTGTACATTGTCCATGTCTCAGCTCCATACAGTAAGGTAGGGATCATGACTGCTTGATAAACCATGAACTTGGTTTCCAATCTGATGTCACAATCTTTAAATATCCATTTCCTTAGGCATTGAAAGGCTGCATTTGCACATTTGAGGTGATGTTGGATTTCTTTGTTGACATCGGCCTTCTGCAAGAGATGGCTTCCAAGGTACAGGAAATACTCAGTGTTCTCCAGAATCTCACCATAGATCTGAATTACCAGAACTGGGGACTGCTCATTAAGATCTTGTTGATGGAAGACCTTAACATTCAGAAGACAAAGGTCCTCCATCAACAAGCTCTGTGGCACATAGGAGCTGTATAAACCAGGTGGCTGCTGGGCTTCTCTCAGGAGTGCAGCCCCCAAGGCTTAGACAGCCTTTTCCACAGGACAGATTGGTGACCTGGTGGCTTCCTGAGCAGCCACGGCCCCTACCATGGGAATGCAAAAGCCACAGCTTCATGTGGGGCTTTGTTTCACATGTGGAAGTAAGGTGCATAGAAAGGGTCCTCTCAGGTCAGTAAACACTGTTCCCCCTACCTCACCCACTCCTGAGCCACTGATCCCAGCCAAACCGGATAGTAACCTGCTTCCGCCTGGTTTGGCAGTGAACATAAAGAAGGCACAGAGCAGGGAGAGATCACATTACAAATACAGTTGCTTCTCCCCATTTAAACCTGAGTGCACCCAGCTATGGCTGCATATTCACAAAATGTTCTAGTAGCTTACAGGCTCTGAAAACTTCAGGCTCTGTGACTTGTCTCAGTCCCATCCCCACCCCTCTGAGCCAAAAGGCAAATGTGTTATTGCCAGGAAGCCAAGGGACAATAAATCCAGTGGGGTAAATTGGTGCCCTGTCATGCTCACTTTAAGCTACTCAAGAGCCACAAAGGGGCAGCAATCCTGCAGGGGGCTCCTGGCATGTGGGAGTGTCTAGAGGGTACAGGCAGCTGAAGGTGTTTCAAGCTGCATATTAAACACCTGCTGGAGCAGGGACTGGAACCCAGGTCCTCCTGTATAGAAGCCCTAATGAAAGTAGAACTGTGCCAATTTTCACGGGGAAGGGAATGGCATCCCAGAATACTCTTATGGTATTATGCTTAGTACAGTCACCTCAGTAGTGGAAGACCCATATCCAAATCCATTCTCCAAAATCTCACACCTTTTAAGATCCCCTCCTGTTTTGTGCATCTAGCTCCAAATTTTTTTTTTTAGCTGAAACTGGCAAATCTGACCTGAATTGGTGACTTTGGAATGACCAGAACTTAATTTTTTTCCAGCCAATGTACTATTTCCCCATAGGAAATATTGGAATTAGTAGTAGTACGTGTAACAGTAGGAGCAGTGAGCTAGTATATCTCTTGTGGTACCACACAGAGGCCAAGTGAGCTAGTCTCACTGTGCTGAGCATGGACATTGTAAAGAGAAAGCCTCTGTCTCGAACTGTTCCCAGTCTACAGAACAGGTAGATCAGGTGGACAGGTCCCACATCTAGGAATATAATCAGGCCATTTACTTGGAACTTGGGGCATTCCCGAGCTATGGAAAGCCTCTGGGGGAGTTTTTTTCTTTCTTGCTGTTTTGGTGTTGTTATACACTGTTTTGCACTGTTATACACTGTATGTCTGGCAGCCCCGTGGTCCACCTGCTTGTCCATAGCAGCTGAGGCAAAGGATGTCCCTTCCATTGGTCTCTGAGATGGGTTTTCTTCTGGAAATCACACCTCACAGAGATGGTGCTCTTGTAGTGCAAATTCCCTGCAGCTCCGCCCATGAAGTGTGGCCGCCTGCGGTGGTGAAGTCAAGGAACCATGGGCACTGTGGCAGAAGCCAAGACAAAAATGGTGCTCTTCTTTCATTGACATGTAGTGTCCCCCTTTTCCCAGTAGAGGGCAGGAGCAAAACCTACCACCTCTTTTCATCTAAGTATATGGGGATGGGGCCAATCTCAAAGCTGGCAGAGGTTTTGAGAAATCAGCCTCCCACAGGGCCCCGCAGAGGCTCCTGGGATCCAGTAGTGGGGAACCTAGGCAGGGAAATATACTGACAGCAGATGGCTTTTTGGTCTAGGATAAGCCATTGTGGGATAGCCTGAAGGAAAAGG